ATAATTTTTTGACAATCGCAAAATACAAGAACTTCATCCCCTACTTTAAAACTTCTCCTCTGACTTTTGGAATCAAAATAGGTTTTGTACTGGTCCATTGACAAGCTTAGGTTTTTTTTCGAAACTATGTCAGAGGTCTCCTCAAGTTGGATCTAAGGTCAAGGAGAAACTGGTAAGAAGACTGAACCTCAGCATTTACCTCCTCATTAGTCCATAAGTCATGAAGGATGGACAGTGGACCTCTGCCTGTCTACCATAGAGAAGTTAAAAGGTGAAAACCCCAAAGAGATCACTGGGAACTTCCCTCATGGCAAACAAAGCACAGGGTAGTGTAACGATGCCACTCCTTAGGTTTAAGGGAGCAAAGTTTCCTTAAAATGGACTTGAGAATCGAATGCTGGCGTTCAATCCTCCCATTACAGCTGGGATGATAGGGTGTGGTGAAGAGAGGCTTCACTCCCAGAAGTTGGTATAGATGTTGCATTAAGTCAGATGTGAATTGTGTCCCACGGTCAGACAAAATTTCTCTAGGGATACCCACTCTGGAGAAGATGGACAAAAGGGCTTCAGCCACCTCTGTAGTAGTTATGGTCTTTAAGGGTATGGCTTCAGGGAAACTCGAAGCATAATCAACCAATGTTAATATATATCTATGTCCCCCAGATGAAAGTGGAGATAAAGGACCAACGATGTCAATAGCTACTCTTTCAAACGGTACCGTAAAGATAGGCATTTTGACCATAGGTACTCGCCTGGTACCTCGGGAGGATGACAGTTGGCAAACTTTACATGATCTACAATAGGTAGTGACATCTGAGGACATTTTTGGCCAACAATAGGTTTCCCTAATTTTATTTAAGGTTTTACGATGCGAAAAATGTCCGGCCACTGGCAGGTCATGAGCCATTTTTAAGAACAGTCTCTCTGCATTGACTTGGAACAACTAAGATGGAATAGTCTATCTCATCTGAATTTAATTTGAATACTGACTTGTACAAGATACCTTTTATATATTCAAATTTATATGAAAAGTTTTCCTTTGGATAACTTGATTTTTGTTTTAGCGGCATTATGGCAATTCTGAAGAGAAGGGGCAATTACGTTGTTAAATTGACAAAGGAATCCTTCGATATATCTAAAGGCTTAAAGTCAGGGAAAATCAAAGGATGGACAGTAGGAGAAGCCTGGGCTTTGGTCTGAGCCCTAGTCAAGACATTTATGGTATCAGAGGTGATATCTTCACTTTCATCTAACAAGTGAACCGGTGATCCTACTACCTCGCTTTCTAGAGTAGCATCACTGGTTTTTAATCCCACATGAATCTCGCGAGACATTGTCTCACCTGAACTTTCGAGCGGCTTCTCTGACTCTACAGGAAGAGGATCTGAAACACTTGTGTCCATCTTTGGTGCTGACAGGTCAAGCTCAGAAGGAAGAATGACACCTTTTACATTACCTATTAGTACGGAGCAAGAAATGATGGGAGCTAGTACGGCTCAGACCAACCTGTGAACCATTTAGACCTAATGTAACAACGGATGTAGGAAAAGTGTCTGTACGGCCCAAGTATCAAAAGTATAGAAAGGGGAATGATTTTTTCTTTAAGATTGGGGAACAGCTTCAAAATGACAAAACCTTGCATCCAGTGTCCGTAAAATGGTAGAACTTTAAGTCCATAACTGTTCCTAAACAGAAGGTGCTTGGTCTTTACATTTTTTAAAAACTTCCAACTTTTGGATTTCTTAGAAGGACAATCGGACTTTTAGTCCCCTCAGGAAAGGGTTCCTTGAGTGGGGGGGGCTCTTGTTTTTGGGAAATTGGATCTGTGCCCCTTTTCCCCAAATTTAAGCCTAATCCCTTTCCACACCCCCCCTCCCCTGGCGCTGATATCCGGGGTTTTTAGCGCTCCCCCTTGATTATAATAATAATGGACTTTATTTCCCTTAACACCACACAAATCAAACAGGAAAAAAGAACTATTTTTTTTTTCCACTTGGGGCTTTGATTCTAAGGTCATGAACCCTTCCCCTTGGGGGTTCACCCTTTGGGTCTTTATAAAATTTTTTTTTTTTTAATTTTTTTTATAACCTACAGTTACATAAAAAAAAAAAAAAAAGGGAAACAATGGATCCAACATCATAATCCTCTAGAACATCTACAACTTAACCCAAACCCAAAATAAAAATAACATACAAAAAAACACAAAAAAACCGACTCATTACAGTTAAAATAAACCCTTTAACAAAAACTCAGACAAAAAAGGAGCGTCTATAAACGGGCAAATTTATCTTATCCCATACAGCCAAAACAACTTTTAAAACATAGCATGAAAAACCTATACGGGGGCTGACATCTATGTACATTTTAACATACAAAACCTAAAAAAAACAAACCTAAAAAAAAAACCATTTCATAGGCAAAAACAATACCTTTGAAAATATATCAAAGACATTGAAATGAAAATAAAACAAAGTATCAAAAAGGGGAACATCAACAAGCATGTTGAATACCTATAAACCACCATCACATACCACGAATTACTTTGTATAACACATTTGGGGAAAAAAGAAAAACCAAGCATACTTAGATCATCCCTTGTGTCACCTCAAACCTTAAAACACCAAAACGGAGATGTACCCTCTCACACATACCCCCAAAGTAGTGAAACAACACTACACCATATTATTAAATACCTTGAACAATCCCTTCTGAAAAACAATGTGAAAAACAATCTTACACAACTACCCCGACCAAACTCAATCACAAAAAAGTTTATTTATAATTACCAAACAACCCACACCCTAACATCCAACACATGCCATCTAAAGAAAACTACCCGCCGCAACCCCTTATTTTACATTTAAAACTTTTAAAACCCTTTTAAACCTGATCACGATCCCTTCAGTAAATGCGTCTCCCACTTCCCCCCAAAAAGATCCCATTGCGGCATTTTGTTCAAAAATCGGGGCCCCCTAAACTCTTACCTTTCCTCGACTCCCACCTCCCTCTTTGCCAAGATATATAAATAAAATCAGGACCAAAATACCAACCCATTTCCCACCTGCTGACTCCCACCCACCTTTTACAAAACTTAACACCCGCAACACCTGTACCCTTCCCCCCCACTAACCTAACTACCCTACTTACCAGACCCTCACACTTCTAAAAAAGTACAAAAGTACACAGCGTGAAATAGGGTTTTCCGGACATCCCCCCCGCTTTGCACTCCCCACCCCCTTAATCCCATTAAATAACCAACCCCAGACGGCAAAATCCCAAGTAAAACCTAAACAAACCTCCCTGACACTTGGTTTTACACAGTTGTTGAAGACTTTTCCCATACAGAACCCCATGCTACAAGGTATCCCCCTCAACTCCGCCACCAAAAACCCACCCCCCACCCTTCAAGAACCTCTTTTAAAGCGTTTCGGATCCCTTACCGTCAGAAAATTTCGCAAATAGCCTCCCCAAACATTAATCCCTATTTTTTCCCACCACCGTTGCTACCAGCGCAGTCTTTAAAGGGCCCCCCCCCTCACCCCCTCCCTCACAAACCCCCTTTTCAAAAACACACTAAACATACTTTCTCAAGAGGTATAAGCCCCCACCCCCCCCCTGGCTAACGGGAAGCGACACCACCCCTCTACTTAGCCAGTCACAACCCGACCCCATATAAATCTGAATACCCAGTTGCAACCGTTGCCCCACACCGCGTAACGGATATTTTTTTGCCCCCCCACGTGCCAAAACTTGTTAACAACGACTTCTGACTAAAACCCTTTGATGAAACGTTAATTGCTCTCCCTAAAAACCCCCAATTTTTAAAAACTCCATCCACGTTCGCCTCGAATTTGCCTCTTGGCATCCCTATCATTCCGCATGAAACACATCCCACATATCAACAACGATCCCTAAAAACCCACCCACCCCAAACAGCCCTCACCATTATTACACTATCCCCAAGACCAAATATTTGGGACTTTACTACTTTAATTTCATCCCCGTACCTCCCCAAAAAAAGTCTACACCCCCTTCCTACCTTATGTAAATCCCCACCCCTCACCAAGACGTCTATCCCACGAAACCCCAACATACCCCTTCCCCTTCTCGGCAAAACCAACCCTCGCTCTCGCCATACTCCACCAAAACTGCCCAAAAAAAAGGGGTTCCTAAAGACTGCAAAAAAATTTGCGACAGAGGACATCCCTGTCGCAAACCCCCCCCCATCTGAAACAACACCTAGCCCTCCATTAACCTGAATTCTCATAACTGCCACCCAGATACAAAGTTTTTGCCCAAGAAACAATTTCCCCCCCCAAACCCAACCAACGCATAAAACTCCAAATGCACCCCTTTCTACGCTATCAATAAGCAGCTCTCCAATCCAACCAAAACACCCCCCCCCCCCCCCCCCAAATGCCATAAAACCCTAATAACTCCATGCCCTTCTACATTGACTACCGTACCATATTGTCCTCTTCAATTACTTTACCTAAAACCTGTTTGATTCTGTTCCTAATACCCTTGCAAATAACTTATAATCACCGCACATAACGATTTTGCAGGAATCTTCACCGTTGTCTTCCCCCTTTCGGCACAAATAAAACAACAGCAGCCCTTTTGCGCCACCCATTGCCCATCTTCCTTCTTTACATTGAACAATCTGACAAAATCTCCTAAATACTTCCAATTCTTAACAAAAATCATTAGGAAAACCGTCTAACCCCTCCTTTACCTAAACTTGCCCCTTAAAAGCTCCAAATTTCCCCTTCCGTAATCTTCCTTCCAAAGCTCCCTACTCACCAAAAAGCCCATTGCACATAACCACCCTTTTTCCCTTTAAACATCATCCGAACCCACATGTTGTGCATAGACCAAAAAACCATACATCAAAATCCACTCATACCTTAGTCGCACAATCCTCCCCTTCCCTATCCCCCCTCCCATCCCCACATAAACATTTTAACCCATCACTCCGCGCCGCTCTCCTCTTACCGTCCTCTCAAACACACCCGTGCCATCACCCCAAACACCCCTCCAACCCCGCCAAAACGCGTGCACCATAAATTTTTTCATTTTGAAAATCCCAAATCCTCCTTTTAATCCCTAAATATCTCCCACCGGTAACTAACCCCCCCTCGTTCGTAGAAAGCCCCAACGCCCCTCAAGATAAGATTGAAACCCAATTTAAACCTATTATATTCCCTCCCATTACATACTAAAAATCCTTAATACTATTTCGCCCCGAGTCCCACCACTAACCAGATCACCACCCCCAGGCGCTTCTGCCCCAAAACCCCTCCCAAAACTGTTTAAATCTGTCTATTTCTTCTTCATGCCAATTTTACTTTTAAACTTCCAATCCCCCCCCACCCCTTCGTGCAACCCCCCCAAACCCCCAAATCCACCAAACACCCCATGATCAAAAATACCACCCAACACCCTAAAACCCTATGTATTACTACCCTTCGGGGGACGTACAAACGATCGAGCCACACATACCCACCCTAATAATGATGCCTACCTCCCCCCCCCAAAATATCGATAAAACCCCCCCTGAAACAATTCTCCCAATTTTCCCATACAATCCCCGCCCCCCTCGGTTCCAATCCTTACGCCTTATCACACATTTCCAACACCTCCTATCAGGGCACCCCTGAAACCACCAATAAAAAACCCAAACACGTCCCCCCAAATTTATTCTTACCGTACGTCCCCCTGCCGGTCCATACACACACACCAACCACTAACCTGACCCCAAAATCCACCACACGTATCACCCCCCCCTCCCCCCCTTCACAATGCCACAAACCAAAGGGCTAGTTTCCTTACCAAAAATACCACACCCGCCTTTTAAATTTTCTGCAATTTTTAAAATACACCTTATATCCTTCACCTTTAACTCATAACCATTCTATAATTTGCCCCAAGAACCAACTCAACACCCTGACGCTCCAAAAACTCCCTAAACCACTCACACCCCTTTGGCCCAAAAATTTTGTTTTAAAAGCAACACTTAAAACCGACAAAGGGTTTTCCCCCTTTACACAACCTTTTTTTTCACCTACGCCTCATTGCACCTTATCCCTCCCCCCCCCTTTTTTTTCACTCTTACTCGATCCCTGTCCCCCAGTGTCTTTTGAACCCCCTCTGACATCCGCCCATGTTTTCTTCCCTGAACGTTGTCGGGCAAACCCCTTCACTGAATCAAAAGCACTGCTGCGCGCTTTCGGTCGTACCGCGACCCGCATCTCGTCAACAAGCTCATCACCCCCGATGAACCTCAACTCCACCGTATTTAACCCCACAAAACCTTGTCACACACCCTTTGGACGAACTACCTTCGCCCCTCCGTCCCCCATAATAGTCCCAAGATCCAGGATCGTGCCTTCTTCCCGATACG